GATTTAGCTCAGCGGCAAAAGCGCCTGCCTGGCAAGCGCAAGGTCGTGAGTTCGGTTCCTGGTACCGGAGAAAAACCAAAAAAAAAAAAAAAGGCGCCGGGGAGCCCCTGCCTACCCTAGGCCGCAGGAGCCCGGGTGTCGGGCGTGGTGGGGGCGGGGCGCGCGCCCGCCCTGCGGTTTGGGGCAGAGGGGGCCTCGGGGAGTCGCTGCACTGTCCCCGCAGCAGTGGAGTCTGGCTGCGGCTGCCTCATCGTGTGGGCCTTTTCTCCATCTGCGGGATCCCAGCCAGCTCTCTGCCCCGCAGCGGCTCACGGCCAGGCGGCCAGGCGACGAAGGTGACAGCCACTTCCCAGCACCCGCCGGTACAGACCCACCCAGGCGCCGGAGGTCAGATTGTGCGGTCACGTGGGACCCGGGCCGCTTCCGCACGCCCTCCAGGCCCCGCGCTCCCTGTGTGGAGGGGACAGATGCCAGAGCCGCAGGGCCTCTCGGCCGGCCTGGGTGGCCCGGGGTGGCCTGGTACAGCACAGCCCCGTGTGCTGCTGTGGACACAGATGTGTCGTGCACATCGGCATCACACGAGGTCACGGGTCACCGGCAGAGGTCAAGACAAAAACCAGACAGCTCCATCTGAACACAGGGGGAGATGAATGTGTCCAAAAGACAGAAACGCCCAGAAGCCCCCCTAGCAGCGGGCTAATCTAACAGCTGCTTCTCTGCCTCCCCTTCAGGGCAAGATTTTCTTGTTTGTTTGTTTTTTGTCTTTTTGAGACAGGGTCTTGCTATGCAGTTCAGGCTGGCCTTGAGCTCACACTGTAGCCCAGGCTGGACTCGAACTCACAACGATCCTCCTGCCTCAGCCTCCCAAGTGCTAGGATTACAGGCGTGCGCCACCACACCCAACTTTTTTTGTCTTTTTGAGACAGGGTCTCACTATGAAGTTCAGGCTGCCTTAAACTCACTGTACCCCAGGCTGGCTTTGAACTCAGTGGCAATCCTCCTGCCTCAGCCTCCCGAGTGCTGGGATTATAGGCATGCGGCACCATGCCCAGCCAAGATTTTTTAAGATACCGGGTCATAGAGTGACCTCTGCAAATGCCGTCCTAAGTTACCTGACAGCCAAAAACCTCCCAAGTCCTTCCTGACGCCCTCTTCCTGGGCTGACTGGCGCTCGCTCTGCTTTTCTTAGAGGCAAACGGGTCCTTCCCTGGCAGGGGCTGAGAGAATATGCTTAGCCTGGGCTTGGCCTGGTACCACTCTAAGACACTTTAAATACACACATGGGGGCTGGGGATTTAGCTCAGCGGCACAGCGCCTGCCTGGCAAGGGCAAGGTCATGAGTTCAATTCCTGGTACCGGAAAAACAAACAAAAAAATAAATAAATACACACATGACCCACACCTTCCAGTGCTCGATTAAGGATTTTTCTCCCTTACGCAGGTGCACAGGTGAAGCGCTGTCAGTAGCAGCCACGGTTTGAGTTTTGCTCTTTGCCCAGGCTGGTGGGAGGTGCTGGGACCCTTGCTTGTTGGTCTCAGGGTCGTGAGCCCCATGAGGGCTCCGCATCGCCCTGCCGGGCAGGTTAGATGTGTTCAGGGTGCTCATCCGACAGCATTTCCAACTTCCATGGGCTTCCCTGGTGTGACCTCATCATCAGCTGAGGCGCATGCATCCTTGTCCTACTTCAGAGTCACCCTTGCATGAGGACATGGAAGTTGAGGCAGTTAAGGACTTTGCCCAAGGTTACAGGGAGTGTGGTGACAGCTGGCTTAGAAATTCAGGTTGTGCTGGGCGTGGTGGCACGCGCCTGTAATCTCAGCGCTCAGGAGGCTGAGGCAGGAGGATTGGTGTGCGTTTGGGACAAGCCTGGGCTACAAAATGAGCTCAAGGCCAGTCTGAACTGCAGAGCGAGACCCTGTCTCAAAAAGATAAAAAAAAAAGAGAGATTCAGGTTGCTTTGCTACACCCACCCCACCCCACCTCTCCTGAATGGTGCTGAAACCTAGAGGGGGCGGCGAGGTGCAGCTGGCGGGAGAGGCCCCACGGGGCCTTGGGGCTCAGGGAGAGGAGTCCGGGCCGGGGCGTGACCTCCTCCTGCATCTCTCCTCTCCCACCTGGACAGTGACAACTCGGACTGGACCCCACACGCCTCCCTCCCGGCTGCCAGGCTGCTGACTAAACACAGGCCCAGCAGGACGAGGCGGGGTTCGTGTCAGCCGAGTCTGGGGCCTGAGTCACTTCCTGACCTCGCTCCAGAGGTGTCCAGCTGGCCGGGAAGGAGGGCACCCACGTGCGCAGAGTCACCCCCGGGCTCACCTCTGTCACCCCACAGAGACTCCAGCCCTGGGCCGTGTCGGGCGCCAGTCGTAGCCTCTGGAACGTCTGCCGGGAAAGAACCCCGAGGAGGTGCTGGACATCCTGTCACCTGCGCCCGGCTTCAGGCTCACTGGGAGACCTGTCACCGCTTCCCTTCTCTCCCGCCGTCTCCGGGCCGGGGCGGAGGAGGGGCAGCCGAGGGGTCCGAGCCGCCGCCCCAGGGTCTGGCTGACGACCGCATCCTCCTGATGGGGCCGGGTTGATCTTCATAGCACAGCCTGAGTCTCTTCTGGGGGCCCTGCCCAGCCTGTCCTCGCGGACTCAGAGGCCTCTGCCTCAGTGGAGCTGTGTCTAAAACACTTAGAAAATGCCGGCACAGGGAGACACACACGTTCATTAGATAAGATGTTTTCACGTCCCCTGGGCTCACCGCTGCATTCACTCTCTATGCGTTTCCAACAGCCTACCCGGGCCAGCCGTGAGGACAACAGACTCCTTGCCCAAAATACCTGGCGTGCATTTCTGTGGGATCTTGTGCCCCCCTAAATAGTGTCTTTGATTCCACCTGATGATGCAGGGGGCTGCAGGTCCCATCAAGGACCCCAGCTTGCTGTAGGCCACTGGCAAGCTTGTTAAGATGCCCTCTCAGCTGGCCATGGTGGGGCACGCCTGCAATCCAAGCTCTTTAGGAGGCCGAGGCAGGAGGATGGCAAGTTCAAGCCCAGCTTAGGTAACTTGGCAAGACCGTGTCACACACACAAAACAAACAAACAAAAAAAAAAACAGAAAAGAACTACGAAGGTAGTTCTTCGCTCTGTGCAAAGACCTTGGGTTCAATCCTCAGTATGGCAAAGTAAATAAATGAACACAATTTTATGTTTTTTCTGTGTCAGTTAAAAACACAATTAGGGGAAAGGGATATAGCAGTGGCAGTGGCACACATAAGGCCCTGGGTTTAATCCCCAGGGCCACAAAAACTAACAGACATTTGTCTCCCTTGGGCAAGTGAAGGAACCCCCCTCACAGTGCATCCCCAGGCCAGCCCAGGAACCCGGGGCACTGTGGCTGTTTCCTGCCCCTCACCCTGTCCCTGGGAGCTTTGTGATTTGATGTAAAAACAGAATCTCCTTTGCACTTCACAAGCCACTAGGCACAGGTGACAGACAGCCTTTGTCATTTCCTCACACGGCATCAGGAAACCAGCAAAAACTGCTGAAAACTGAAAATGTACCTGCATGGATATTGGGTTTTAGAAAGTGAGTGTTATTAATTTTAGGTGTAAGAATGATAACTGTGTGTTTTTTTTTTTTTCTATTTTTTTTTAAATCGGGGTTTTTGGGGTTTTGTTTTTGAGACAAGGTCTTATTAAGTAGCCCCGGCTGGCCTCGAACTCACAGCAATCCTCCTGCCTCAGCCTCCTGAGTGCTGGGATTACAGGTGTGCGCCACCCCACCAGGCAAAAATCGTTTATCTTTTAGAGGTTAAAAAAAAAAAAGGTCGAACTGTTTGGTGCCTGAGTTCGGCTTCAAAATAACTGAAGAAGAGGAATGTGGATGAAATAAAGTTGACTGAGTTGATGGAATTGCTGAAGCCGAGGACTGAGGTCAGGGCAGCTCCTCAGAGCCCCATCAGGTGTGGGGTTCGGCTTCCCCACATTGTCCTCAAACGCCGGAGCTCTTCCTACCCAGCTGGCTGGCGCCCGAAGGGACCCGCCCGCACCTGCCGCAGGTGGCTCCCTGCGGCCGGGCGGTAGGCGGAAGCGCGGGGTGGGCGTGGCCGGTGAGTGGGGCGTGGCTGGGCCGGGCCGGGAGTGGGCGTGGCCTGGCCGGGAATTGGCCGGGCCGGGAGTGGGCGGGACCGGGGGTGGGCGTGGCTCGCTCGGCGCTCGGACAGCGCGGGCGCTGGGAACCTGCGGCAGGTACGGCCGCCGCCGCGCTGGGCCGCTGAACTCGGGTGCCCGGGATGAGCCTCATCCGGAAAAAGGGTTTCTACAAGCAGGATGTCAACAAGACGGCCTGGGAGCTGCCGAAGACCTACGCGTCCCCGACGCACGTCGGCAGCGGGGCCTACGGCGCCGTGTGGTGAGCCGGGCGCGGACGTCGGGGCTCTCGCGGGCGCCCCACCCCC